AAATGATCAACAAGGGTTGGATCAAACCTCGTGAATCTGAATTTGGTGCACCTGTTTTGTTTGTTCGAAGAAAGGAGGCAAGCTACGTATGTGTATCGATTATCGCGGTCTAAACCGCATCACCAAAAAAAATGCATATCCACTGCTACGCATAGATGACTTGCTTGATGTTGCCTGTAGGTGCAAGGTCTTCTCCAAGATCGATCTCAAGTCTGGATACCACCAGATTGAAGTCGATCCGGCGGACCAGCACAAAACTGTGTTCAAGACACGCGATGGGCTTTATGAATTTACCATAATGCCCTTCGACCTCACGAACGCACCAGCCACCTTTCAAAGCCTCATAAACAAGGTCCTCCGCAAACAAATTGGTCGGTTTGTGGTAGTATATCTTGATGATATTCTGATTTTCAGTAAATCTATTGAGGAACACATGAAGCACCTCGAGGAAGTGTTCACCATCCTCGAGAAAACGTAACTCCATCTCAGCTTAGAGAAACCTGAGTTTGGGAAGGATAGCGTCATCTATCTTGGGCATCGGTTGTCCGCTGCAGGCCTCGAGTCAGAGGCAACCAAGGTTGAAGTCATACGGGACTGGCCACAACCTGCGAACATTTGCGAACTGTGTTCTTTCCTTGGTCTCGCGTCGTACTATCGAAAGTTTGTGCCCCGATTCTCTATTGTTGCTCGCCCGTTGTCCGGAATGACTAGTAAGAATGTACCTTATGCATGGGATGCAACATGTGAGACCGCATTTCAAGCCTTAAAAGAGGCCTTGGTAAGTTACCCTATCCTCCGCATTGCAGATTCCAAACTAACATTCGTAGTCACTACGGATGCTAGCCAATACAGGATTGGCGAAGTGCTGCAACAAGATGACGGCGATGGCTTGCAGCCGCTCGAGTACTACAACAAATGCATGCCCAACGAAAAGGTAGCTACTTCCACCTACATGCGCGAGCTCTATGCTTTGCATATGGCTTTGGATCACTGGAAGCACTATCTTTTGGGACGCCACTTCAAAGTGTTCTCGGATCATGAGACCTTGAAGTGGATCAAACAGCAAACTACTTTGTCCCCTACTCTACTGTGCTGGTTCCATGAGATTGACATCTTTGATTTTGAACTAAGACATAAAAAGGGTTGTTATAACCGAGTTGCTGATGCGTTGTCTCGCCACCCTGAGCACATTACTTGCCTTGTGGGTTCCTACGAACTCCGGAAGAAATTGAAGGAGGAGATCGTATAACATACTCCCAAGGATCCGGACCTTAGTCCCATCCTTGAGCAGTTACAGGATGACCCCACCAGTCAACCTGATTTTCACAAATATGGAGGATTGATTTTCCGACGTATGGCTTTGGATCACTGGAAACACTATCTTTTGGGACGCCACTTCAAAGTGTTCTCGAATCATGAGACCTTGAAGTGGATCAAACAACAAACTACTTTGTCCCCTACTCTACTGCGCTGGTTCCATGACATTGGCATCTTTGATTTGAACTAAGACATAAAAAGGGTTGTTATAACCGAGTTGCTGATGCGTTGTCACGCCACCCTCAGTACATGACTTGCCTTGTGGGTTCCTACGACCTCCGGAAGAAATTGAAGGAGGAGATCGTATAACATACTGCCAAGGATCCGAACCTTAGTCCCATCCTTGAGCAGTTACAAGCTGACCCCAACAGTCAGCCTGATTTTCACGAACATGGAGGACTGATTTTCCGACGTTATGGGAATCACGACCGTTTGTGTGTACCCAACCATGAGCCTCTCTGCACGCACTTCTTGGACTTGGCTTATGGCCGGAGCGGACACTTCGGCATGGCAAAGACGTACAGAAACCTATTAAGACAGTTTGATTGGCCTGGTATGAAGGGATCGGCTGAAAAATTTGTAGCTGAATGTCAAGTCTGTCAACAAATCAAACCATGTAGACAAAAGCCCATGGGGCTACTCACACCCCTTCCCATTCCCGATGGACCCGGGGAGTCCGTCTCCGGCGACTTCACTGACATTGGAAAGGTAAACAAGAATGAATACCCGCAAGTCATGGTAATTGTTGAGCGCTTCTCTAAATTTCTGAATTTGATTCCTTTGCCATCTCATACCCCAACTGAATTGGTGATCCGTGAGTTCAAACATAAGTACATTCTGCAGTTCGGAACTCCGAAAACTCTTGTGAGTGATCGGGACCTGCGCTTCATAAGTACCGAATGGAAGGACTTCACGTCCCAACTCCCTGACCTCAATTATGCATGACATCTGGGCGACATCCCAAAGCCAATGGTTTGGCTGAGGAAATCAAGCAGACTGTGTTTCAACTTCTCCGCACTTTAATCATTCCGGATCAAGAGACGTGGGATGAAGAGTTGTATTCCGTCAAGGGGTTGTACAACAACTCCATCCATTCTGCCACCTGCATGACGCCTAACAGGCTGCATTACGGTTGGCAGATTCGAAATCTGCTCTCCTACCTGTTCCCTGAACAACCAGCTGGTTTAACACCCAGTAGGCCTGGCTTCAGGGCCAAGTACGATCGCTTGCTGAAAGTTGCCATCGCAGCAATGACCAAGCGACAACACACAATGATCCACCATGTGAACAAGAAGCGCCGACCTTCAGATATCGAAGGTCCGTGGGAAGTTCTGGATATGATTGGCAATGATGAATTTGGCCACTCATATATAGTTGATGTGCCACCTCATCTGCGCACATACCCCGTCTTTCATGCATCAAAAGATTCAAAACTGTATATCCATCGTGATGCTAAATCCTTCGATTACCGTGAAGATATGATCCCTCGTGCAATCAATGGCGGTCATGAGATCGATAAAATCAAACAGCACGTAGGGAAGGAACTTAACAGACACTTCTAGGTCCACTTCATGTACCACCCCTTGGACGATCTCTACTGGATCTCCAAGAAGGAACTGCTGCGCAGCACACCTCACGTTGTTAAAGCCTACGAACGACAAATTGCCTCTAATGTTGTTCCCAGACGTGGGATGAACAACTGTATTCCGTCAAGGGGTTGTACAACAACTCCATCCATTCTGCCACCTGCATGACGCCTAACAGGCTGCATTACGGTTGGCAGATTCGAAATCCGCTTTCCTACCTGTTCCCTGAACAGCCAGCTGGTTTAACACCCGGCAGGCCTGGCTTCAGGGCCAAGTACGATCGCTTGCTGAAAGTTGTCATCGCAGCAATGACCAAGCGACAACACGCAATGATCCACCATGCAAACAAGAAGCGCCGACCTTCAGATATCGAAGTAGGAAGTTATGTATGGGTCAAGATGTCTGAATTCTCAGAAGAAGATGGAGTCTCACGCAAACTTTTTCCACTCTACTATGGTCCGTGGGAAGTTCTGGATACGATTGGCAACGATGAATTTGGCCACTCATACATAGTTGCTGTGCCACCTTATCTGTGCACATACCCCGTCTTTCATGCATCATAAGATTGAAAACTGTATATCCATCGTGATGCTAAATCCTTCGATTACCGTGAAGATATGATTCCTCGTGCAATCAATGGCGGTCATGAGATCGATAGAATCAAACAGCACGTAGGGAAGGAACTTAACAGACACTTCCAGGTCCACTTCATGTACCACCCCTTGGACGATCTCTACTGGATCTCCAAGAAGGAACTGCTGCGCAGCGCACCTCACGTTGTTAAAGCCTACGAACGACAAATCGCCTCTAATGCTGTTCCCAAAATCTCTGCAAAGCTCACTGCGACAGAGTACTCTCGAAATCTCTTTGCCTTATTTGCTTACGATGCGCTTGTTGGGGACTCAGACTGAGTTATTCGCTCGAAGGGACCTTGCTCTTAAGGGGCGGGGTAGTGTGATGACCCGACCAAACACGGACTGAGACACAGTTGATTTCTGAGTTTTGCTCACGGACTGAATGCCTTGCTGAGTTTCCCGCTTGCTGCTAAGTTCTGCATGTCTGTGTGTGTGTGAACGCTTGCTGGTCTGCATGTCTGTCTGAGTGCTGGTTGGCTTGAGTGTGTGTGTGACCTGCAAGGGTACTTGTCCGTTCGTGGGGCCCTCAGGGCCGGTACTTACCTGTGGCCGTGACATTGAGGGATTGCAGCGGGGGAAAACACTCAAGTAGCAGGTAGGCCGGTACCACACCCTGAAGAGGTAGATGTGCGGGTACTGGAGGCCGAGCAGAAGAAGACAAAAGTGGCATTTTGAGAGGCCCAGTAGTTGTAGGCTAGGTCTAGGCGAGTACCTGTCCAACCAGTCTGAGTCTAGGGCCTGTACGGGCAATATCAGAGTCTGCAATGATGTTTCCCTCCGAAAGGGAGGAGGTACCGGCTGCTGGGAAGGCCGAGCGGCCTGGAAGTCACCGCCCAAGAGGCAAGCAGGCTGCTATATCTCCAGGCCGGGCGAAGAGCCCAGCCTCAGGCGACACACTGGCTGGAGCGCTGGCTGGAGCAGCGCTAGCTTGGAGCAGCGCTGCTGGGGAAGGAGCAAGGACACGGAGGAGGGAGAAGAGCAGGATGAAGGGGGGAGCGCCAGAGGTACTTACCTGGCTATGGTGGCAGCCATCTTCATCACCTTGGTGGGTGCTGCAGCAGGGAGACCCCAGCTGGGGAGAGCTACACCAAGAAGCTTTGAGGCAGAGTCAAGCATGGCGGCCTGAGCTAGAGCAGCCATAGCTGCTTTGCGTTGTCCTTTGCACAGCAGGGCAAGGCCCAAGTAGTCCGCCATAGCCTCGGCCTCTGAGAGTGAAGAGTGAGGGAGGCGGCCATGGCTATGGTGGACCTCAAGTGATACCTGCAGTAGAAGAGGAACCCGGACATGATTCTGGATCAGCCATTCAACATTGTACTATTATTTCTTGTATGAATAAGAGAGGAGGAGTAAAGGAGGAGGAGAGTGTCGGGCGAAGAAGAAGAGCTTTGTCATTTGTCTATGCTGGTGTACATCATCTTCTTCTTCTTTCTTTCTTCTTCTTCTTCTTCTTCTTATCCTCTCTCTCCCTCAAGTTCATTCATTTCTTTCTGCAATTGGACGGCATTATACTATCTGATGAATGTGTACTTCGAAATTGGCCAGGATCATAACAGCCCCGACAACCCCTTGATCAACCATTGGAACTCGAGAACAACTAGGTACATGAATGATAAGTCTCGAGACAACTGTGCATGCCACATATGAGTGGGAGAAATAAAGTCATGACTCATGAGACAAATTCACAGCATATTGAGGTCACACCTCCAGCCAAAATAGGGGCTGGTACGCCAATAGACATATATCCATGGGTCTAGACCCCCACATGTATACATGCATATCTTTTTGGCGGGTGAACCGTGCCAAGCTTAGATCCGCCCACACCTGGCCATTTTCTTTTTTTGTTTGCAAAAGGCCACCCACAACTGGCCCTTTTTTTTTTCACCAAAATTTGGCCCCAACCCGGCCCAGGGCCATCCTCCCATCACTTGGTCACACCTGGCCAGGTGGGACATGGACTAGCCAGACCTATCCGCAGCTGTCGGGTCTGGCCGGGGGCAGCTGGGCGAGGCTACGACCAGCCATTTGCAGGCTCTGCCCTAAATCTAGGCCTGTTTACTTACCAACCACTGCCCGACATGAAACACAGCACGGGAACCAGAGTTAGCACGCGACACAGACTTGCACTCATAACTGTGGTAGACAACCACCCGGTGTCACATACATCATCAGCAGGGCATGCAGGCTCAGAAAACACAGCCAAACAGACTTAAACTTGGAAATCTCTGCAGAACAAACAGATCAAAGGACAGCAACTTCTCAGGAACGGGCAGATTTCTCGGATTGCAGCGATGTGAGTCATTGCATTGTGCAAACAAAAAAAACAAAAAAACAGTGAAAGTCATGCCTTGTTTTGGAAAATCGAAACAATTCACGTCAGTTTTGTGGAAAAAAGCAATGTCAGAGACTGCTATGATCCTTGTCACCTCCCAATGCAAGACTCACAAAGAGACAGTGCCATTCAATTGCAAATCAACTGAAAGAGACTGAAAGAAGAATACAACAAGGGCATTTGCGAGTGATGTTTCCTTTTCAGGTACCTAATAGTTTCGCTAGGACCTTATAGGCTACTCTTAGGAGGGAAATCTCTTGGTAGTTTGTTGGGTTTCATTCATCGCAGAACATTACATAATTCGTTTAGGTTATTGTGGATCCACGATTTCATCCTCGTTGTCAAAACTGAAAAAATGGCCACAAGACGATGAGCAAGCATTTTGTTTTGGCGGGAGGGGGGCGAGAGAGAGAGAGAGAGAGAGAGAGAGAGAGAGAGAGAGAGAGAGAGAGAGAGAGAGAGAGAG